ACCCCCCCCCCCCCCCCCCACCCCCTACCCCCCCCCACACCTCATCAGCGCTGTTGTCGTCGTCTTCTTCGTGCCCGGAGTGACGCCCACGTCGAGTGTGGTTTTATGTAGCGGCAACAAAAAAACAAAAAACAAGAAACAGTTGGGAATGGGAAGCAGAGATTATTTCATTCGACACGCCTGCTATCGACGGCGGCGGGGCAGCTGGGACGGACTCGAGTCAAGACTGGTGTCACCGGGCAGCCAGCAGCCGCGTGCCTGCACAGCAGTCATGCCTGGTGTTCTCAACGCACCTATTAGTCGTCGTAGGTGGGAATGACGTTCTCGCGAAAGGACAAGGGGGGACACACAACACCTCGTCGCCTTCGCTCGACAATAGATTGCGCCTTGCTGGGGTCCACACAGCGGAGGTTCGTCGGAGAGGTTGGCACTAATAGTACGCCGCATTTTATCACGAATAATAAACCAAAGAACGAGACGTTCTGGCGACGGTTTCGCAAGGAGACGAGAGAGCTAGCGAGGGGGTGAGGCGGAAGACCAAGGACGAAAAGGGTTCAAAAACCGTGTCGGCCGTCTACTCCGGTCTTCTCACCTCTGCTCGGTGAGGGAGGAAAATTGGGCCAGCAGTTTTTTCGCCCACGGACGCCTGTCAGGGTAGACGCCGCTTGGGACCAGAGCGCCGTACAGTTCCGGGGGGGAAGCTGATTGAGGAGAGTGGGGAGGAGGGGGGGGGGGGAGAGATAGACAGTCAGGCAGGGTGCAGAGATTGGAGAAGAGAGACAGATGGAGCTAGATATAGAGATAGAGATAGACAGAGACAAGCAGAGAGAGATACGGTGAGGCAAGAAAAGAGAGAGCGAGATACGGTGAGGCCGATAATATACAACATTGCCTTGTTATGACAAGAAGACTGAAATTCGCGAGGCCGACCTCCGCACGGATGAAAGGCGAGCACGCGACTACTGCTACTCGCCAAGAATCAGGAATAATGATGAAGAGAACCGTGAAATGAGGGAATCGTCCTCGACAGACTTTGGGGAGATTGTACCTTTATGAAGGTGGTCTCCACAGAACCATGAATCTTAATCATGACAACAACGCAGTCAACCGAGCCGCACGCAGCAGGGCGGAGGTCACCCACCTGGCTGCCCGTGTAGCATGTCGAGCCCCTTATCGGCGGCCAACTCCTCCGGCGTGGCCTGCCAACATCAAGGTTGTGGGTTCGAATCACGAGGCGGGGGATTTAATGAGGGTGTCTGTGTGTGTACTATAAGAAGCGTCTGCACACGGCACAGCCGGGTCGTGCAAAAAGAACGTCTATCGGTGCAACGGTGAACCGGAAAAATGCGGGGATGCGCATCGCCTACGCGAGCACAGCGTGCAGCCCAAGCGACAGAGACGATAATCTTACGACGTTTGCAGCATATTCCAAGCACAACGGCAGCAACTGCATGTGGACCACGGTCACTCAGGAAGAAAAGCACAAACGAAAAAGACAAAAAGGTTGTGGCGCGCAGAAGGCAGGCCCTCTTTCGCTGTTCAACCAGCCGTTCCCATGGTGAAACAGACAAGGAACAGTCAAGGCCGATTCGTTTTGGCCACAGGAGATGTAGGCTACTCAAACTCGGGGAGGCGCCACGACATTTGCACTGTAGCCCGAGATCAGCATTTGAGACCGGGTCGGGTGGGGGATGCGAATAAAAGTTCCACCCACGGAAATCGAACGATGCTTGCTGGTCCAGCTGACTTGGACGCCTTTTTCCTAAATTAAAATATACGCGAAGGCTACTGCCTTGCGTGAAGACAGGCCAACCCCCAAAAAGGTAAATCAACTCATCTACGCATACGAAAACGAATAAACAAAACAGGACCTACTAATATAATATCACCACAATCGCGATCACAGAGCAAATATTACCGAAAAGGTTGGTGGGTTAGGGTTAAAGTGGTTGACGGGTTGCGCTGCACACTGCACCCTGCACGTGCATCTCGCACGGCATACATTGGTTTCAGCTGGTTTATTTCCACGTTCACCCATGGGCCGCCAATGGGCACCTCATGGGCCGCCCATGAGCAACCCATGGGTGAGCTGTGGGCACTTCAACGTAGAACTCGCCACCGGCATTTAACCCTGGTAGAGAACTTAACTGTGCGGCACATAATCTACAACTTAGCCACACAGCGCCAACCTACGCTAGAAGAACGTATCGTGTGGGCTTGGTTTTAGGGTGACCAGCGCCAACCTCCAGCAGTAGGGGTTAGCGTGTGAGCTTGGGGTTAAGGTTAGGGTTAGCGTTGCATTGGGTTTGTACACGTCATATTAAGACCCCCCTCTAGGTAAACAATAGGCTCAACGACAGTTTGTCAGCCGTTTTGTAGTACCTGGTACTCTCTGTATGCTGTGCTGGGAAAGTGTGGAAGGAAGGAACATGTTGGGATGACGTCGGTTTCTCCGGTATTGTATGTATGGCACCCGTAGAGAAACACAATAAGGGATAATAGATGTTTGGCACGTATATGCATACGTATGCATACAAATGTAAATCCACGCGGTTTTCCTCCCCTCACCAGGCCGAGGCGATGTAGGCACTGCTGTACGGCTGCATGACATTGGCCCCACGTCAAGACCAATACCGGACGTTGCGGACGATACACCAACGACTGCTCCTGCGAGTGATCGGTTACCAACGCAAGAGGGGCACCTAACGGCAGCTTTCCTACGCCCAGACCCTGAAAAGGGTAGGGTGCCAGAGCGTGGAAAGCACTGTCCGGCGACGGCGCCTGCTGTTCGCGGGAGCGCTGGCTCGGCAGCCAGACGGACGACTCCCGAAACGGGTGATGCTTGGGAGGGGAGGGCCCAGGCAGGGGTAAACCGAAGCAAAACTGGCAGATGTACCTGAAGGACGACCTGATATTGTTCGAAGCAGAGCACGGATCTACGGACGCCGACCCATGCTTCTTCGGAGTCCCGGGAACAACTTTGATGGAAGCAGCGAAGGTGGACCGGGGGGTACTGTGGCATACAGGGGAACTGCAGGGAGCTAAGAGGTTCATGGCCTCCTGGCACAAGAAGGAAGAGGAGGCTAGCCGACAACAATCGCTCAAACGAAACAAGAAGCACGACAACAACACGGACACGGCAACAACCACGGGGGCGGGAGGGGGACAGCAGCCTCAACACGAGACGGCGAGGAAAAGCAGGAAACGCGAGGAGGCGGACCGAGCGGCGCGCAACACCGTGCCGAATTGAACCCCTTGCTTGACATATCCCCCCACCCACCCCCCCCCATGTTTGCCATCGGGGTTGGCTTTTCGTCGCTCCTAAGCGATGTGGTAAAACAAGCCGAGGGTTAAAGTGAGCTCGGCAACCAGTTTACTGCTTTTTTGTTTTTACCTTTGTTTTGTTTTCTTTGGCGGTAACCATAATGATGGTCGAGTAGATCATCTTGTGCGGGGTGGAGAACCCTCACTCCGCGCAAAGGGGACAATCGCACGTTGTGTTAAAGCTTACAACTTGTATCTGGAAGTGAAGGCACCAGAAAATAAATTAAGTCATACGCAGCTGTCATCCGTACGCAAGGAAGTAAGCACAAGATGCCGAACACACTTAGCAGGATGCAGCGCACCCTTGTTGAGACTCGTCGCATACCTCAGTGTGCCTCGCGCCTGGTGATGTGAGAGCCTGGTCCGGTGAGCACCCGGCGTGCTCCGTCCCGGCTTTGTAGGGATGCGAGGTCAATGGTCTAACGACTACGGCATGCACGACTATGGGTACCCCCCCCCCCCTCCCGCCCGGCACTACCATTGCACCAAGCCCCCGCGAGCGACGACGTGCCTGGGCTGGCTGGAGTAGCCCGCTCTGGCTTGTGTTTTTTTGTGTTGTTATGCTTTTTTTTTCTAACCCTGCTGTCGCAGAGGCCGGTGTCTTTTTCTGTCTTGTGTCTTTCTCCTTCTCTTTCCCTTCTCTCTTTCTGCTCCCTTCCATATATATATATTTTTTCCTATCTGTTTCCAAGCTAGAATTACCTCGCATAGCGTGCAGAGGCGAACGGAGTGGCCTAAACTATCTGTTCAAGACGTTTATTGGCTCAAGGACCCTTCGGGTACATTTTATTTTCGTATACCTGTTTTGGGTAACTTGGGCTGTGACCACGGGAATCGACCCCGTCAAGTGTTCGACTAGTACGGAAAGAAGAAGGTACGGGGCCGAGAGAACGGAACGGTTTTTGATGTGAAGACAGCAACAACAACAACAACCGAAAAGACTCAAAACATCCCGTTCGACTGTGGGGATATCTCGAATGGGTAGTCTTCCTGGGTGTGTGTTGTTAGAAAGTGGTACACATAATCTCACAGATAGACCGCCCGTTCGAGATTGTACCACAGTCGAAGGGGATGTGTTGAGGTCAGGACACTGCTGTTTTCCTAAATATTCTCCCCGCTTCCCGCGTGTGTTGGTCCCTCTTGTTGTACCACTTATCTTATCGTGTGTATATCTCGAATGGGTACATAGTCTTCTGTGTGCGTATGTATTTTCCTAGATTATCTTTTCCCATGTGCACAACGCTTAACAGCAGGACTGTTTACGGCGGTGCTGCTGCTGCCGGGGTGCACTTGCATTGATTGATTGTTCCAGAAACTGAAGAAGCAATACCATCAGGCAACAACGCGTCACGGGATGAACGAAAGCAAAGTCGTGCTGTTCATGTTTAATGCGCACATCTCACACCTGCTGTCCTACACCGCTAATGTGGCAAAACCCGACATGTTTGGATTGTATGCATACAAAATACACACCCTTCCGTAAGGGTGCACATATTCACATACCCGACGAACCAAATACCCAACCTCTCCCTTCTACACCTTCCCAACATAACATACAGATATATACATATATACCCAAGATGGCTACCAAAGTGTCTTGTTGACCCTGTTGGGGACGGGGGAGATATCGCTGGCTGTGTGCTGTGTTCGGGAAATCGTGGAAAACCAGAATTTCTCTATGGATTCATTGCTAATCTATGTTAGACTCTTCGATAGAGATGGATTCGTTGGGACATATTGATGAAATAGCAAAAAAAAAACTGCGCACGAGACTTGCGTTAGAACTAAAGACACCCAACGAAAATGTAGCGAGCAACCGCTTTGTAAATATATGGATGGTTGTATGCTGTACATATGTTGTCCAACCGGTGTGCGCATCCACACACCTCTTTCATGCCCTAAACTGAGACAGAATTACGTGCTCACTGGCAGCGACTCTTTCAACAGATACCACCGATCGAGACCAATACAGAACGCCGCGCTCACTGGCGGCGCATACATCGTACTGTCTAATTGATGAGGCATTCCTCGCTCACTCAACAGAGAGAGAGACAGGAGAGAGAGAGAACAGAGGGATACGTACCAACCCAGAGACAGGAGAGTAGAGGAGGCAGTTGTCCGTTGACCACCAATGGGCTCGTGCAGTGGCGAATGTCTCCTTTTTTTTCCGCCTCGCTGCCTGCAGGGGGGGGGAAAGTTTGAGCCGAAGTCCAAGATCGGGCGCACCAATCGTACAGCAGTGTCAGGCGTGACTCAAGCGATTCCGTGGTGAGGCCGAATGTTTCCCCCGTGCACAAGCAAGCAGTGATTTTTGTAGCAGAGAACTCGCTAATGGCTGCTGTCGCTAGGCCAAAAGGCTACCGTTAGATCGCACAGCAGTCTAACCAGCAGTAGCCCAACGTTATCGCCGAGGTGTCGGTCAGATATAAATGGTTGTCTTGGTTGTTTGTTACCATAACCCAGGACAAGGCCTGCCCGGCTGCCCGGGCGGGTGTGCTGGCGGTGAGTCTGTATGTATCCCGGTGCAAGCGATAGCCCGGACATCATGTGGGCCCCACCCACACATAAACACGACGATACAGCAGTCGTCGCAGATCGTGCAACACAATATACCCAACAAGAATCCCAACCAGGCAAGTGGTAGCGCGGAGCCCGTGTGTTAAACTTATGTTGTCTTGAGTCACCCCCACAATGGAGAGCCTCTTGGCGTATACATTTTGGATGCATGCTCCTCTCTATGCAGACATGCAGCGGGGTGGAATCCACATGCAGCGGGGTGGAATCCACCCGTCACGGATGAAAAGCTGGCTTGTATTTGTATGACTTCTACGCCAAC